TATATATATAGATAGATACATTTGCAGTACTACACACAATAAATGCATATGTTAGGCTGCTACCACTGCTCTACATGACTCCAGTTTACCCAAATCCTTATCCATTTCTTTATGTTCTCTGAATTGATGTAATAAAGATAGTACCCTGAAATGTTCTAGCAAGATGCACAGTATAACTATCATACCCTAAAAGAGGATCCAGATCAGGGATTATAGGACACGTTTTGTGTTGTTCTAAATCTCATTTTTCACAAGGGACCCATTTTCTTGAGCAAATGTTCTGCCTTGGAGTAGGTACATGAGTGCTCTTGTTTCTGTTTTGTTACGGACAAAGGCCTGTTTGGGGTAAACAGTACAATATGTTAATATGGAATAAATCTAAGTTTGTGTGTGTCATTTCTGCATTTGGACAGTCTGGTGGGGAGATAGGATGCCAAAAAGGAGACATGGATGACACAAGTATCCCAGGATGGATTCCAGCTGAGGATGTTATGGTTACAACAACACCAGGCGCATCTCCATTAGAAACAACAACAACAATTGGTATCCCCTACCAGGAGCACCAGAACATTTTATTAAGTTTATTCATCCTAACCATTGGCATCACAGTCTGGTATGGTAACACCACACAGGCAGAGAGGAAGACTCTTCAAAGGGTCATAAAGACTGCAGAGAGGATAATTGGGACTGAACTGCCTGCTATGGACACACTATACACACAGCGCTGTTGCAAAAGAGCAGAGAACATAATCAGAGACACACTCCACCCAGCTCACTCTCTGCTCAGACACAAAAACTGCACCCACAACCTCAGGCACATCAGAGCGGATGGTATCATCACACACAGAACAAGATGTGAAAAACCTGTGCAATAACCCCTCATTACCCTACTAAGTAGAAGACCATATACAATTTTTACAACAGCTTTTTCCCTGCCACATTAAGACTGATGGCAAATACAAAATGTGAACAACCTGTGCAATAACCCCTCATTACCCTACTAAGTAGAAGACCATATACAATTCCACTATGTGCAATATTTGAAACTCCCCATTTTACCTGTTATCTTATTCTCTATCCACAATTTTAGCAACTATTTTGTATTCTTGGGTACTCTTTTGTTTTTTGTATTTTGTATTCTTGGGTCATTTTATATTTAGACTAGGTGTTTGTTTTTTGGCTTTAAACTCTACTTGACTGCAGGAAGAGCCCTGCACAAGCATTCCTATATGCCTAGACTGTCTGTTTATCCATAAATGGCAAATAGAAATCTTGAATCTTGAATCTCAGTGTTTATTTCATTTGAATGTTTGTGCAGTACATATTTGTTGCCTTCATTTTGCTTTCTTCTGTTCACATTACTTTGCCTCCTCTGTGTTAAATTCTAAATCTTCCAATTTCAAGTAAATCCAGCTCAAACTGAGTGCCCTCCCCTGGTACCCCACATGTTATATGTTACTGAAAAATGTTTCCTACATAGTGCAGACTGGTCTTGTTTGTGTGTATGTGTGTGTGTGTGTGTGTGTGTGTGTGTGTGTGTGTGTGTGTGTGTGTGTGTGGGGGGTGGGGTGAGGATGGGGGCCATGAGTCAGTCACAGATACAGACAGATCGATACTAGGACTTGTCAGCAGGGAGATTTCAATCAACCACACTCAGTACACACTCCTAAAGCCGCAGTCCCCCATACATACATACACACAAACAGTCAAACCTATTATCCCACTGCATAATGAAAAGAATAGCAGGCTGTCAATAGACCCTTCTATTATATGCTCTGACACACACACACATATAGAGAACCATTAGAAATCTTGGACTTATTGAATGATTGGAAGAAAACTGGAAAATATTATGGAGCCAAAGTAAACGCCGTTGCCTTATGTGTTTCTTTTCTTCTGCACTACAATGCCTTTTTTAAAATTCTGAAAGTGATTTTAAATAGCCTTTTCTTAAGGTTTGCTTTGTAGGCTAATAAATGTATTTGACAGTAAATTGTGAGTGAGCGAAGTGCAGTGATTTAGGTTCAAGATATTGAAAAGGGATTTAAGTCTTTGAATTAGACTTCTTTTGTGACTCAATATTTTGATATATACGTGAGATCAAACCAATAAAGTCTCCTAACTTAAAATCTATAGTATTTATACAATAGCACTTTTTGGGTTTTTTTTATGTGTTTTGGTTCTCTGTGCTGGACCATTGGCTGTCTCCTCTGGCTGTTAGGACCTCATCCAGACATTGAGATCTGGATCCTTTCCTTCTCTCCCATCCTTTTTTTTTGATTTCAGTGGCTTGGATCATTTTCTCTGTCCTTTCTTTCTTTCTAATGTAAATGATCTCAAGTTTTGCCTCTACTTTCGTTGTGTAGTCTCCTACCAGGTCTTTATGTCTGTGTGGCTGAGATCTGTTGGAAGCACCTGGATGTTATTTATCCTGCTGGATCACATTCTTCATACAGTATATGCTATATACATGTGTATGTATATATATA